GATTGCTCTGACGAAACTGATCCCACTTTCCCATGCTCTTCCGCAGCACACATCGCTGCGGCCTCGTACCCGGAGGTAGATCGACCAGAGCAGCAAGCAGCTGCGGTGACTGGGTCTTTTGACGAAGAACCCGAGCCGCGAGTGCAATGTGCCGATGGGAAGTGCCTCGCAAGCGGGGCACGAACCATCCACAAGCGCTGCCTCAGCGTGAGCATGGCCCACTGAATACAACGCTCGTGCCAGTCGTCTTTCGAGACGTGTCAACCGCAACCAGAAACACACGGACGGAATGGCATGATGTAACACACAATTCCACCCATGTAGCTCTCAGAGAAATTGTACTCTTTTAGAGGAAATTTGCTCTTTTAGAGATCGCCATTGAAACACCCAGGGGTACTCTCACAACACTTATCTATGTATGAGTAGGGAGAGACTGCTGACCGTGCCTTAGATCCAACGACGAGGAATCGAGGGGTGAATGATCGCAACTTCTCAGTGAGAGACGCTGCAGATCCCTAGTGTCATACACTCGACACAACGTGTCGGGAACCCACGGTTCAGATCGTATTACTTTTGAGTCATGGATCGATCGCATCCTTTTTTGGACCAGCAAAAAATGGGGGGTGGGGGGTGGGGGTCATACAGGTTTGTAACTTTCCTTTAAAGAACATTAAGTACTTATTTGATATCCCAGTAAAAACTACTAGCATAACTAATAAAGTTATTATTAAAGACAAGTAAACGGTCATTAATAAAGCAAGGGAAAAAATACCCCAATTACAAGCACAGACAAATACAACAGGAAAAAAAATACAAATAAAATAAGGTCAAACAGTAGTATTCAGGTACAGGTACTAATTATGTGCAAAATAGCACTGCACAGTGTTCACTGCATAAATTAAATATAGATTAATCTTTGTTAAAGCTGTGTTTTGTTGTTTGGTAAACATGACATGACACAAACAGCAGCAGGTATTTATAAACTGCTGTCACTTTAAGACCTAATGTATGGGTCCAATATAATGAATGATACACAATTTCTACATACAATTTTTACAAATTTCTATGATATATATCGATTACTTTCTGTTTTACGTTCATTTTACTTAAGACATAACCAAGGTTATAATAGTTTAGCATTTTTGAATTTCTTATTTATCCATAATCATGATATTGTAACTGTCGTGTCTTGCTCACTTTCCCGTGAACAACCACGCATAAATCATAACTGGGACTAATGAAATTCAATAATAACGGCAATCGCATTTAACAGTAAAGGCTCATATTTGAATATGTTCTTTTCATTTATGAAGAATTATGAGCGTGTGTATGATGTGATTTAGCCTATGCACATTTTTTCAAAAGCCTGGCAGAGTGATCAAAAGACGCTAGGCAAAAGTTTTGTATTGTTTACAGAAAGGATGCTGGTTCTCATCTTTTTTTTCTGTTAATTATCACGTTGCACTGCGTGTCTGTTTTTCTTCAAAGCACCAACTTAGAATGCCTAATGTTGGTTTGATTGCTTGTGTTACATGGTTTTTGAAAAGTGATTTCTGTTAAATAAAATATCTCCTTTTGAAGTGGACTTTGAGCTTTGTAACTTTGCAGATATTTTTTATGCTGAAACAGCAACATTACAGACTAACTAAAGTTGAAAAAGTGAAAAAGCATAATAGGACCCCTTTAAACTAATATTAATCTAAATCCTCAGAGAACAAATAAGATTTAAGAACCGATTTAAAGCTGGCTAGTGAAGGAGCAGACCTCACATTTAAAGGCAGGCTGTTCCAAAGTTTGGATGCTGCAACACAGAGGGCACAACCACCCTTTGATTTACAACGACAACGCAGGACAGTTAAGAGAAGCTGACTATATGACCTGAGTGCTCGTTGAGGAGAGTAAGGAATTTGAAGACCACTTCTGTATTTTGGTGCGGCACCAAATAAAGCATTATACACAAAACAGCTATTTTAAACTTTGGACAATTTACACGCAAGAGATCACAGGCAGGCCACAATATAGGGAATTACAGTAGTCCAGGCGTGATGTTATAAGAGCGTGTATTAAAGCAAAATTCACTTTTACATAGGGCTGGGAAAATAAATCGATGCATCGCGAATCGAGAAATGATTCAGCATCGATTCTGAGATTTTCCGAATCCATCGCGATTCTTTCTCGAGTCGATTCTGAGCTTAGTTTTGAACAGCAGATGGCGCTGCATGCTTTAGAAACAGCTGTACTCTTCTCGTTTCCTTACACACACTTGAACCTAAAATAATCATTCATAAAATTCAAAAAGTTTGAAGCGAATTACAAGGGTGTTCACAATGGGCTGTGTTTACATTCATCTCGCATCATAAAAGCATTCTGAGCCGAGGTGAAATTACACGAAATCACCCGAATGCAAAAGCGCTCTTCAGCGCTCTTCTTCATGAGCATTTGAGTGTGCGGATAAAAACTAGAGTAGAGCGCCACCTGCTGTTAAAATCTAATATCAGAATCGATTCCAGAGAGAATCGCGATGCATTCGGAAGATCTCAGAATCGATCCACGAATAGATTCGCAATCGATTTATCGTCGCAGCCCTACTTTTACATGTTGTTTGAACTGAAATATGTCTTGGCAGTGTGTATACCTATAATGATAAAAACACTGTTTCAATGCCGGAGCAGGTGTAGACAAGAATGTCTCCTAAGCGGTTGAGGTGTTCTGTTGTCGGATGTATTAATGAACATAGCAGTTGTCATTTACTCCCGAAATCTGAGCCGCTGAAGACGCAGAGGATTACTTTTGTTTTTGAAGGGAATGACCCCTTTAAATCTCTCGGGGACAGAACCTGTTTTAATTTCACAGTTGATCTCAGATGAAAGAAGCTGCCCTTTACCACAGAACCGATGTTTCTCAAAGTTTAGTGACGAATCAAATGTAACCCCAAGATTTCTTACATGTGGTTTCACACTAGCTGCAAGAGTACCTAAATTAAAATCAGAGGAAGAGCTTGAAGAACCTAAAACCAAAACTTCGCATTTACTTTCATTTAATTGCAAAAAATGATTAGCCATCCAACATTAAATCTCCTCACAGCAATCGCAAGGAACTGATAATCTGGTGCCTGATAACCATTATAAGTTTTAGCTGGTAGATAAAATTGCATATCATCAGCATAACAGTGGTAGAATATCCCATATTTCTTAAAAATGGCACCCAATGGGAAGATATAAAGTGATACAAAGGATATAAAGCCTAAAATAGACTCTTGGGGCACACCACCTAAAAAGGGAACAGACCAAGAAGAGTACCAAACTGAGTTCTGTTTTGCCTATTTTTACACTTGAACAGTTCAAAATCGCTTAAATGTTTACATTGGCAAGACTTGGAAATATTCGAATTATGAAGTTTCACTCTCTGATGAATAAACTTTGTAATTAATTCACAAATCAAATGCGCGCCGACCCGTGGGGCCTGGTTCATTTGGATCACAGATCAACTATGATCCGTTACACCCCTAGCTTTCTGTAAATTAAAGTATTCATTCTCAAAAAATATGCTATTCAGAGACTATTTATTGCTTTTGTTGAAGAAAGCTCACTTTGCCACTGGAATATTTGCATAGGCACATTTTTAAGTCAAATAATGTATGTGTATGCTTTTGTAGTATGTGTCAGGATTCTGCCCTGACACTCTGTTTGTCTGGTCTTTTTGTTTTTCGTGTCTATGTCTTGTGTTTCAATACACATGGCTTTGTTTTTGTCTACCATGTGCCCTTCTAGTCCCTCCTCCTTGTTTCCCCTTTACCACACCCTCTTGTTAGCCCTTGTCTAGTCCTTGTTGGTCTAATTGTGCTCACCTGTTCCTCGTGTGCTTTCCTCCCTATTTATAGTTCCCCTTGCCATTTGTCTTTGCCGGTTCGTAGTCATTCTCACCCTCACTGTCTATGGAGGTGGCTGAGTATTTGTTCCTTTTCCCTAGCCTTATTTGTGTCGTGCCCTAGTCTTGTCAAGTCCCTTGTAATTCTATGTTTTAGTCTTGCTCCTTGTTTTTTGGTTGTTTTTTTGCTTTCATCTTAGTATTCATCTAGCTCATCTAGTCCTGATCTTTTCTTTGCAGTTTTGTTTGATATTTTTAAGTTATTTGTGTTGGTTAATTAGTAATTAATTCCCTTTATAAATCTTTTTATTTTTATTACTTTTATTTTTTATCAGTTCTTTAGATTTGTCTATCCCCTTGCCTGTTTTAGAGTTAATTTGTGTTCCTGTGGAGCCTTGTCTTGTTCTTTTAGAGTTCCTGCCCGCTGGTTCCTTCTGCCTGGCACCTGGGCTATTTCAGAGTCTGCGGACATCAAGCATCTGAACTCCGCTTTATGGTGTCTTGCTTTGGTCTTTCCCATCTGCCCGGTCTTGCCGCTCTCTCTGCAGCTCATCTGCCAGTGGATTTCTGATGTTGTTCCAGCGGTCTTCCCTAGCTGCCTCATCTCTGTTCCCTGTGTCCCTGCTGTTGACTCACCTCCGTACCTCACTAACCCTTTGTATCTGTCTGTTTTGTAAATAAACCCTTGACACTCACTCTGCATTTGGGTCTTCCTTTCAGATCCCTGACAGTATGCACTAGGTTTGCTGCAATTGTTATATAATCATCTGAGCTTGATTATTTGAGATACGTGTGATAGGATTACTTTTTTTTTTAATTCACATACTGCCAAAAAAGGACATTATAAGACAATAGTGAAACTAGAATTTCTAAATCTCCCTTTCCGATACAGTTGTGCAAACTTTTATAAAACATTTTTGGTATTTACAGGTTACCAGAGGAAGCTAAAGTAATACAACAGAGGACAAGATAACATAATTTTGCCAAATTTGGAATGGGAAGCATATTAAAATACTAAATCAACTACACAAAGAGAGTTAAAGGTCATCCTTCAAAAAATAGAGTAATTAATGGCAACAATGTAGCATAAAAGTGAAGAAATTATTACGTAAATATATTAAATGGATCGTATATATTAGCTAATCATTTCACTTAAGTACAAGTAAAGATAACCTGTATGGAATATGACCCAAGTAGTCCATGAATAAAATACTGCCGCAAATACTCTAGTAAAACTTTATTAAACCTTTCATTATCAAAAGTACAAGTAAATGGTATGAAGGATGGCAGAGATGATTATAGTCATGACAACACAATTGAGTGGCTGTGAGTAATGGCAGGGTGCTGAGGTCTGGTAGGATATGGAGGAGCAAACTCAAGCCACAACAGAATTAGCTGGAAAAAAAGTCAAAGAGCTGCATTTAAAATCACTCATCCTAGAAGTGCTCTGGACAATGCATAACTGGTTGGTTCCCACCAGAACTGAATGAACTCACTAGCATGTCTCTGCATCAATAATAATACATCAAGTTGAAGCAGGGTTATGCATGTTTTCCCAGCATGCATTGCAGCTGCTGGTTTTATCATTACTGGTATAGCTCAAATCATGTTTCTTGTTGAGGATAGTTTTACTTTTTTGACTTATGCTTTCTGACGTTTTTGCCTGGCAGACAATAAAACAGTCCAAACACTTAACAGTTCATTGAAGGAGACACTCAAGTCCTGTCTAGGGACCAGAATATCATATAGACATGGGGGTGGGGGTGCGCTCTTTTAATTTTAAACAAATAAAAGCATATTTTAATGTTGAAAATATTATAATACCCATTATAATATGAATGGGTATATGTCATTATATTTCATATTTCATTATAATATGAAAATATTATAATATAATAAATATTATCATATTTATTATCATAAATATTATAATAAAACATAAGTCCCAGGAAGGAGAGTCAGGTAAGGAGCCGTGTGTAAACTCAAGACCAGACAAATGGTGAGTGAGCAGCTAGCGGTATAAGTAGGGGGAGGTAATGAGGAGTGACAGGTGCATTGAGTCAGTAAGCAAGAGACTGGGAACGTGCAGGATCGATGATTGGATCTGGCAAAGCTGGTGTCTCCATAAGAGTAACAGTACACAAACATGATGGTTCGGTATGTACAGTGGGGAAAATATTTATTTGATCCCCTGCTGATTTTTTGTAAGTTTGCCCACTTACAAAGAAATGAAGGGTCTGTAATTTTTATGGTCGGTTTATTTTAACGGATAGAGACAGAATATCAACCAAAAAAAAAAGAAAAAACACATTATATAAAGGTTAGAAATTGATTTGCATTTCAGTGAGTGAAATAAGTATTTGATCCCCGACCAACCAGCAAGAATTCTGGCTCCCACAGATTGGTTATGTGCCCATGTGGAACACAGATTAGTCCTGTCACTTTAAGAAGTTACTCCTAATGTCAGCTTGTTAGGTGTAAAATACACCTGTCCACACAATCTGTATCCTCCATTCCAACCTCTCCCACCACCATGGGCAAGACCAAAGAGCTGTCAAAGGATGTCAGAGACAAGATTGTAGATCTGCACAAGGCTTGAATGGGTTACAAGACCATCAGCATGAAGCTTGGTGAGAAGGAGACAACTGTTGGTGCGATTATTCGGAAATAGAAGAAATACAAAATAACCATCAATCGGCCTCGGTCTTGAGCTCCGTGCAAGATCTTGCCTCATGGGGTAAGGATGATCATGACAAAGGTGAGGGATCAGCCCAGAACTACACGGGAGGAGCTACTTAATGATTTTAAGGCAGTTGGGACCACAGTCACCAAGCAAAAAATTGGTAACGCACTACGCCGCAATGGACTGAAATCCAGCAGCGTCCACAAGGTCCCCTTGCTCAAGAAGGCACATGTACAGGCCTGTTTAAAGTTTGCCAATGAACATCTAAATGATTCAAAGAAGGCTCTGGATATTTTGGTTGGTATTCTGTCTCTATCCATTAAAATAAACCTACCATAAAAATTACGGACCCTCCATTTTGTTGTAAGTGGGCAAACTTACAAAATCAGCAGGGGATCAATGGATATGCATTCCAGCATGACAGTGACCCGAAACATACCGCCAAGTCAACAAAGGAGTGGCTCAAGAAGAAGCACATTAAGGTCATGGAGTGGCCTAGCTGGTCTCCAAACCTCAATGCTATAGAAAATCTGTGGAGGGAGCTGAAACTTCGAGTTGCCAAATGACAGCCAAGAAACCTTAAGGATTTAAAGAGGATCTGTAAAGAGGAGTGGATCAAAATCCCTCCTGATATGTGTGCAAACCTGGTGACCAACTACAAAAAACGTCTTACCTCTGTGCTTGCCAACAAGGGTTTCTGCACCAAGTACTAAGTCATGTTTTGCTTGGGGATCAAATATTTATTTCACTCACTGAAATGCAAATTAATTTCTAACCTTTATATAATGTTTTTTTTCTGGATATTTTGGTTGGTATTCTGTCTCTATCCATTAAAATAAACCTACCATAAAAATTACGGACCCTCCATTTTGTTGTAAGTGGGCAAACTTACAAAATCAGCAGGGGATCAAATAAATATTTTCCTCACTGTACCTCGGTTTTGATTTCATGGTTCAGAATGGTTGTGGTACAGCAGGGGGAAAAACTAAACTTTTTTTTACTGAACAAATTGCTCTCTTTAAATAAATTTAATTAGAATTAAAATTTTCTTAGGGATAAAAATCTATCTTAGCTTATGCTCTGGGAGCCCTTTTACATTACTATAAGGTTACAATTAACAACAGAGCCCAAACTTAAATTTAATTACTATTTATTTTTAAATATAATAATCAACACTTAACTCAACTCAAAAAATTGTA